ATTCAGGATTAATATTAATGTATTTGAAAAAAAAAATTGTTTTCTGTAAATTTTTGACACTTAATCTTCGTGCTGATTTTCATAACAAATTACCGCAATTTTCAACGTTCAGAACATCGCTTGGTAAAATTTTCTGTTGCGTATAATGCACCCAAACTGCATTTTTTCCCAGTTTCAGGCTCAAAAAAGGGGGATGCATATTTTACATCAATGCGTATTATATTCGGCCTAATACAGTAATATTTAATGTTTCAATGTTTCACTGTATGACTACTATTAATGAAATCTAAACATATTACCTGGGACATGTACCTTTTGTTAATATATAGATGAGATATCATAATTCACGTGTTTGTCAAACATTAAAACTATGATTTAGCAAAACATAAATAAAAACAAATGTCATTTTAAACAATATAACGCATGAATTTGAAAGATATTTTGTTTAGGTGCTTTCGTCGGTTTCACTTGTACACCATTCAATACACTGAAAATCAATTCTACACCTTTTCGTCCTCTTCTGTTTTTGTTTTTGCATTATAAATAAAGAAAAATATATATGCCTAATAGCCTGCTGTTAAATAACTTGGAATTCCTCTGGATCGAAATTCTGAGTGCAGAGAAATTAAGGAAATCAATTATAAATCTATGTCAAATTTACAGTTGAATTTTGGAAAATTTATCAATGCTCTCTATAATGTCACTGTATATCACTTTATACAGGTACAGTGTACATGTATCGATCGCTGCAAAAACAACAATGATCAATTCCACTACTGTATTGGAATATACAAGGGGCAGGGCTTACTGGCGGCAAGATTAAGGTGGGGGTCCACTTCACAGATGAGTGCCTAAAGCGATCCCAGAAAGCAATTGCTGGGTTTGCTCTAGCAGACCCAGAGCCGACCCCGAGTGAACCCGGAGCACACCCAAGGCGCACCAAGAGCAGTCCCAAAATTTCTGAAAGCGAACCTGAAGCGGACCCCCAGCGAACCCGGGAAGCGACCTGGGGTCTGCTTCGGGTTGGCTCTGGTGTTAGGTTGTGTCCGATCAGTACTGCATGTATATGAAGTTTAAAATCATAAGAAATTTATATTTTTTCAATAATATTGATTTTTTCTGCTACTGGAATGTCTTCAACACACTTAAGTGCTCTTCGCATCATTGGGGACAGCTTTTGAGAATGTACATGTAATTATGAAGTCAACGATATTTTATGTTTTAAAATTTATGTCGGTTGGCTCTTTGAACGGAGTCAATTGCCAATCCTATCGCTTTTGACACTAAGCAATCCAGCCTTCTTTCCCTCTTGATTTCATCTGTCAATATTCTGTGATACCATCGACTATCTTATGTGGTAAAATATGATATTGCACTTTTCCTGGACATTATCAAACGCAACAGAAAGGATTTTTATTTTTAAAAAATATATAGTTAAACATGTAAATAATGAAAATTTTAAAAACTTTATTGTAAGGTCATAATAAATAAGTTGCTAGATTCTCATCCGAATTTTTTTTAAAAATCGAGGCGGGCAGGCGACTCTTATTTTATATTTTTTATTTCTTAAATTTTGCAGATTTTTTATTGACCTGGTCAATCGGTGTAATTTTATCTACAATACCCCAATAAAAGTCATAGAAAAGGTTCAATTATCTCTTACTTCACATCATCACCAATCTTTTTCAACCAATGACCCTTGTTTAAAATATATATGCATGTATTATAGCAATTACCATCTTTTCAGCTGTCAAAATCATGTCGACTTTTGAGGGATTTAAAACGAAAGTAGAATGGTAGATGAATACCGATCAGATCAGAATTAAGACGAAGAAAAACAGAAATAAAAATCAAAGTACTGAGACAGTACTGAAAGGCGGGGTCAAAATAATTTTCATGCTAGATTTCACAAATGTGATTTTTTTTTTAACCAGTTTTGATAATTTTTTTAAATAACAAACTAAAAACAAAACTGTGAATAATATAAATTAGCGTTTTTCATTTAATTTAAAGTAGAAATTTCAATAATTGCTGAGTCTAGAAACCTTTTTGAATTGTCCGAATTTCACCTGGTCCGAATTAATATTTCTCCGGAAGTAAACAATGGATGATGCGTATGCAGTCGTAAAACTACGCCAAAGAGTACTTTGTTTACTAGTGTGTTTTACAATTAATATTTTGAGTTTACGTTAACAAAATGCTTCATTAATTTTAGAATAAAGTTCATATCACTTTCTTCAGTTCGATACAGAATGTTTATATTTTGATCAAAACAATTTCTGCACTCTTTCATAAAGCGTAGATTTAATCCATGTGTTATCCCCACGGCTTCCTTTTTGAGGGCTCGGACAGTAAACTAATAGATGGGGTCATATGACCCCGTCTAAAAATCGAGGCAGGGGTATAAAATCGGGGGAGGGGGGGGGCGGCGGTGATGAGAATCTAGGAATATTTTTATTATGGCCTAAGGGATCACTTCGTTAAAAATAGGGATTTGACCTATAAGACTACGCTTGGATTTTTCTCTACAGAAACCTTGTCGATTTCCGTTCTGATTAATGAAATTAGGAAATACATATAACAATGTATTGAAATTAGGAAATACATATAACAATGTGTTTTTCCTAAATCTTTTTTTCAGAGAGTAGAGGTACAGTACTGTGCAGGCACATAGCAACAGGGGGGGAGGGGCTCTGCCCCCCCCCCTTTTTTTGCCAACACTACATTTACTATTGAAAATGTTCACTGAATCTAGGAATATTTTTATTATGGCTGGTTGCTTTCATTGATTTCCCTGTATACTAAAGTAAAATAATATGAAGGAAATATAGTATTGTAAGCAAAAAAAATTGGATATGGAAAGGAATCGGCATTGAAAAAAAATTTGCCTCTTCCCCTTCTATAGTCTGACTATAATATTTATAGGTATAAGTTTGAAGCAAATAATCAAAATAAGGTTTCCTTATTTTTTGTAGGTTTTTTGTGAATTTCGACCCTAGGGCAGGGGTGCCCCTAAAAAAAATCCATGTTAAATTATTCCTTACATCCAAACCTATCAAAATATCACAATTATATTTAGGGGCAGGACGGCCCTGAAGGACTTCTAGGCCAAAATTCATGCAAAAATCAACGCTTTAATGGACAAAGTGGTGTTTCGGCCAACTTTGGAGCTTTATGTAAAGTTGTAAAATAATAAATTTTAGGTATATGAAAGAAAAAGTGAGACAGCTCACATACCCCACGCTCCCCCAAAACTCAAAGTGCTGAAAATCCCGGAAAAAATGAAAGAATCAGAATTTCCCGGTAATATGCACAATCATCTACAAATTGTGTCCTAAATATCTGCAAAGTTTGATGAAATTCTGTGCAGCGGTTTATGAGGAGTAAAATGCGCTGACAAACTGTTCACCACTATATTCAAGATATCCTCAAAAATCTAAGTTGTAAAGTGCCGAAATTCCCAGAAAAATAAAGGAATCGGAATTTCCTGGTAAAATGCACATCTATACATTGTGTCCTAAATATCTGCAAAGTCTGACGAAATTCTGTGCAGCAGTTTATGAGGGGTCGCGCTGACAAAATGTTCATCTTTATATTCAAGGTGTGGCCAAAAATCTAATTTGAAAAGTGCCAAAATTCCAAGAAAAATAAGGAATCGGAATTTCCTGGTAATATGCACATCTACACATTGTGTCCTAAATATCTGCAAAGTTTGACGAAAATCTGTGCAGCGGTTTATGAGGAATTGCGCTGACAAAATGTTCATCTCTATATTCAAGGTATGGCCAAAAATCTAATTTGAAAAGTGCCAAAATTCCCAGAAAAATAAAGGAATCGGAATTTCCTGGTAATATGCACATCTACACATTGTGTCCTAAATATCTCCAAAGTTTGATGAAAATCTGTGCAGCGGTTTATGAGGAGTTGCGCTGACAAAATGTTCATCTCTATATTTAAGGTATGGCCAAAAATCTAAGTTGAAAAGTGTGGAAATTCTAAGAAAAAATAAAGGAATCGGAATTTCCTGGTAATATGCACATCTAAACAATTTGTGTCCTAAATATCTGCAAAGTCTGACGAAATTCTGTGCAGTGGTTTATGAGGAGTTGCGCTGACAAACTATTTATCTCTATATAAAAGGTCTGGCCAAAACCTAAGTTTTTAGTGCGGAAATTCCTGGAAAAAATAAAGTAATAGGAATTTTCTGGTAATATGCACATCTACATATTGTGTCCTAAATATCTGCAAAGTTTGACGAAATTCTGTGCAGCGGTTTATGAGGAGTTGCGCTGACAAACTGTTCATCTCTATATTCAAGGTATGGCCAAATGCCTAAGTTAAAAAGTGCGGAAATTCCCGGGAAAAATAATGGAATCAAAATTTCCTGGTAATATGCATATCTACACATTGTGTTCTAAATACCTGCAAAGTTTGACGAAATTCTTTGCAGCGGTTTATGAGGAGTTGCACTGACAAACTGTTCATCTCTATATTCAAGATATGGCCAAATACCTAAGATAAAAAGTGCGGAAATTCCCGTAAAAATTAAGGAATCGGAATTTCCTGGTAATATGCACATCTACACATTGTATCCTAAATACCTGCAAAGTTTGACGAAATTCTGTGCAGCGGTTTATGAGGAGTTGCGCTGACAAAAAAAAAGGACTGACTGACTGACACTCTGACACACTGACACTCTGACGGACGGGTCAAAAACATTATACCTCACGCAACTAGTTGCGTGGGGTATAAAAATGCAAATTTGAAAAATTTAGACATATAAATTATACGGTAGAAAACAACAAATAAAGATTAATTCTTAAATTTCACTTGGAAATTGTTCTCTCCTATAGGTCAATTCTTTTGTCAAAGTGAATACATCCCTGTATCAGTTTGAATTTAAAACTGACATGTTTATGTACAAAGACACACTTTGGGTAAAATTATGAGCAAAATACATCCTTAGGGCAGATCTAAAGATAGGATAACAAAATTCTTACTCTTCTTTTATTGTTGAAAAGTATCATTTTGGTGGAGGAAAATTCCACATCATACACTCCAGCAACAGGACTGCCATGGGGCCATGGTCGGCCATTGAAAGGTTGCCTGTAAAACAAGGAAGTTTTTCCTTTATACTTTAATAATGGTATAAATAAATTTGAATTACTGCAACAATTTTTTTCAAATAGATATGATAATCTTATGGTTCATTTATATGGCCTATTGGAAAAATCTTACCAATTCCCCAATCCATCTTAACGGGCCGAATCTAATTATTTCTGCCCTAGGGATTTTGATAATTTTTTAATTTTTTGATACACTGTAATTATTTTTTGCTGTTACATTTATTGTCCCACGCTTTCGCGAAAGTGAGGGGACATTAAATCTCATTCGTCTGTCTGTCTGTCAGTCTGTCTGTCCATCACATAAACTTAAACCTTGCCCATAACTTTTGATTGAGAGGAGCTATGGCTTTCATCTCACATGTGTATTCCTTGTGACAAGACCTTTCTTTGGGTACCACCAAAGAAGAAGGTATGGTTTCCATACAAATTTTGCCCTGTGATTTTCTAAAAAATGAAAATGGTGTAAAAGTTGAAAACTCATGCTTTTCAAATAATTGAAATTCAATGCAGAAAAATCATACAAGTCATTTTTCTCACATGTGTTTTTAAATGCTAATCATGACTTCACAAACATGTGCATTTTCCAGTATTTTCTTAAAAAGTTGCAGAAGACACCAATTTTCAATGGAATTTTCTTTCAGATAACATTGTCCACAGGCATCACCCACAAAGATCTTGAGATATGTGATTTGTTATGGAATTTTGCAAAAAATATCAAAAAATTAACGACTGGGCGACGGCTGTGGACATAGAGGAAAATCACCCTGGAAATGTGCCATTTTGAGGGTTTTTCTGTTGAAAATAGAGAAATGTTTTACATTAATGTCATCCCCTGCGAGATGAAATTCATAATTTCAAGAACTTTTATGAACCATTCATGAAAATTCATTATTTATTCATAACAGATTCATGACTGGTTCATAAAGACAGTTCATGAATTTTATTCATGAATATATTCATAAAATGTAGTTCGATGAACAAATGATGAACAAATATGAATATTGGTAATTTTCAGTTTAAAGAAAAAACTTAATAGGTCAAGTAATGAATGTTCATGAATTTTCATAAAGACTAGAAATTTAAATTATAATTGTCACAACCGATCACCAGAAAACACTCATTACTCCCATAATACAACTTTTGCATGCAGATGCAATTGTTGAACAAGCCCCTGGTATAATCAATAACAGGCTATTGATTTGATTTTGAAAGTATGGGATCAGAGTTGTGTAGGAGAACAGGTTAAAATCACTTTTTTCTACTCTATGTAATTGATAACTTAGATTCTTCATGTAAATTTATTTAATTTTTGTTTATACACAACTGTATTTATTATGTACTGGGTGAACAGAGCTGTACCTATTTATGTAATCTGTTAGCATGTGCTTAAGCTGTTTATAAACAAAACCACGTGATCGTCTTAACCAATCAAAATCCTAGAAAGGGACGCTAACTCAGTCAGTGTTTTGTAATTGAAGTAGCCAGAATCTGTGTCTTAATCGATTTGTTATTATTTGAACTTTAACCTATTATTTACTTGTACTTTCGTTTTCAAAGTGTTGACATGTGATTATATATGTCGCTGGATTATACTTTTGCACATTTAGTGATCTTTTTTGTGATTTAGACTGTGATAAAACTTGTGAAATGCCTCCGATCAGAAATCGCAATCGGCCTAATCGGCAGGATTATGATGAATCCTTACCAGAAAATTGGACAGTAAATAAACTTCGGCAGGAATTGAGCTTGAAAGGTGTAACACCGCCACAAAATACCAGGCGCAGTGTTTTAGTGTCCCTATACAAACAAGCGATGAATGAGGAATCGGGACATTTGACAGACTCTAGAAGTCACGTGACACCTTCACATAGCGGACCCTCACCTAGCGGACCCTCTCCTAGCCAAGACGTGAGGACTGAACTATTGGGCGTGGTAAGAGATCTAACAACAACAGTCCAGAGTCTCCAGAGCAGCATGATTTCTCTAACAGAAAGGGTTAATAACATGTCGAGACCACAACCAACGATCCCAGCTGCAGCGGGGAGCACTGAACAATTACGCCAGACCGGGGTTCAAAACACTATGGCACGAGTTGACGTGATATGCGGAACTCCTCGGGAGCCTACACTCTGTAGGCTACAGAGACGGAAAACTACACTCTGTCAACAGCTTGGGCCGACCAAAATTCTACCAAAACAGTGGGAGTCAAGACTACATACGGATATTCTGCGGAATCGTTACCCTATGTAGAAACAATTTCACCAAATCTAAGGAAACAAATAATTGAAGGTAAGGATGTCAATCTTGCTACCATTCTGATTCCCTACTACACCGGGCCAGAAATAGACAAAGACAAATCTGACAAGGAGAAAAAAGACCCTAGGTTGAATAAGACCTTAACTATCACAGAGTTCATACAGGCTTTCGGTATTTATAAAAGCACTATGTGTGAAGCTTTTCCAAGACGTAGACAAGAACTAGACTTATACGAGCGCGACATAATAGACATGGCCACTCGGTACGGAGGTACTGCGTTTTATGAGTACCACAGACAGTTCAGCGCTAGGGCAGCGACTTACCTTAAATACCAGAACATCCCTATAGACTGGTCGGTACGTAATGACACGTTATTCTGCAATATCTTTGCTAATGAGAAGCCGGTCACCTGCACACTCTGCAACAGTGTCAGTCACACTGCTCCTTTCTGCCACAAAAACGTAGAGAGAGGGGTCAAGCCTTACCATTTCTCACAGCCTTACCGTCCATATTCTAACACGAATGTTAACGATAGTTATGGCAGAACAAGGCATTACAAAGATGGTTTAGAAATATGTAACAATTACAATGACATGGGGTGCAATCACAAAAGATGTAACAACTTGCATGCGTGTAAAACTTGCAAACAAACTGGGCATCCACAATCTATGTGCAATTCAAAAAACGATGTAACCCCCCGGGGGAAAGGGTCACCAAATCGGGGGAACCAGTGATTAGTACAACCGTTTCAACGCCAGTTAACATAGAACTTTTAGAGAAACTTCTTCTTAACCACCCAGATAAACATACTGTGGATTATTTAGTGAATGGCTTGAAATATGGGTTTGACACAGGATTTAAAACATTACCCACTGAAACCTATGAATGTAAAAATTTGTTATCTTCAAGAAAACAACCTGACATTACTTCCCAACTAATCCAAACAGAGCTAGACAAGGGTTTCATTTCAGGTCCATACTTGTCTATGCCTTTTGACATATATAGAGTAAACCCGATAGGAGTTGCTGAAGGGAAATATTCGAAAAAGAAAAGACTTATCATTGATTTATCTGCTCCACATAATGAAGATCAACATGCCAGTCTTAACTCTCTAATTGACAAAACAGAATTTTCCTTGTCATATGTAACAATTGATAACGCCATAGACTTAATCAAAAAACTGGGAAAAAACAGTTGGATGTGTAAAGTAGACATTTCAGATGCATTTAAACTCATACCAATACACCCTACCCTTTGGTCATTTCATGGGATCAAATGGGATAATCAATATTATACTTTACAAGACTAAAAGTGTTTGGTTCATTTTGAAGTATTTCACAGAAGATTTTTGACACACTTTCTACAACTCTGTGTTGGATTGCACAAAATAACTATGGCATTACCAATATCTTACATCTCCTTGATGACTTCCTGACAGTGGACCCCCCCCCCCGAGTTTCCAGCAGACATTACCATGGAAACTTTAACAACCATGTTTCAAAAGTTGGGCATACCTCCAGCTGTTCACAAAAGTGTGGGCCCTTCACAGTGCTTAGAATATTTAGGTATAGTGCTGGACAGTAGTAAGATGGAAGCAAGACTTCCACCTGACAAACTACAGAGAATACTTGAGACGTTAGATTCTTTTTTGGACAAGAAGACATGTACCAAACGACAATTACTCAGTCTATTAGGTCACCTAAACTTTGCGTGTCGTGTTGTACATCCAGGCCGTTCATTTGTGTCATATTTAATATCATTGTCCACAACAGTTTCAGAACTTCATCATCATGTGACAATTTCTTCAGAGTGTAGATTAGACATTAGAATGTGGTACAAATTTTTATCTTCATGGAATGGTGTAGCTTTCTTCCTGGAAGACAATATTACTATAGCAGCAGATATGCACTTGTATACAGATGCAACCGATACTGCATTTGGGGGTTATTACTTAGGGAAATGGTTCCAGGACATCTTCCCACCAGACATGTTCAGCAATGGAGAAAAACCCTCAATGGCCTATTATGAACTCTATCCCATTGTAATGGCATGTGTCTTGTGGGGTCAGCAATGGTCAAGGAAAAGAATTCTTTTCCACTGTGATAATTTAGCTACAGTTGAAATTATAAACAAAGGTCGTTCAAGAATAAAGTCAATCATGAGATTAATGAGAAAACTAACTTTCACTGCAGCAAATTACAATTTCACCGTACATGCTAGGCATATTCCAGGGAAACTTAATACTGTAGCTGATGCCATTTCTCGTTTCCAGATGGACAAATTTCGGAAGCTAGCACCAGAAGCAGACAAACAAGCTACAACCTGTCTTCCTTACCAGGAGATCACAATGTAAAAGATATAGAGACTCTATGGAATGCAGCTATAAGTCCTACACAGACTGCGAGAGTGTATTCAACTGGTATTCAACACCTTTTAACATTTGTGACCTTGTGTGGAATAGCAGTACCATTAGGTACTTTACCAGAGTTAAATGAAGATGTTCTTATTAAATTTGTGTCTTATTGTCATTACTCATTAAATTTAACATTTTCTACCATTAAGCTGTATTTGGCTGGCATAAGATTTCATTTTCTTAAAGCTGGACACTGTAATCCTTTTAAAGAGCATGACAGATTAGATTGTATTTTACGTGGCATTAAAAGAATCCAAGCAAACGTTTCAAAACCTAAAAGATTTCCTGTTACTTATCAAATATTATGTCAA